GACTCCTCACCCCGCTCCCCACATCACCCCCCCCAGGACAGAGGTGTTCCCCAACCACAAATCTAAAGTGATCCTGCCCCATCCTTCAGTCTTCTCTTTATCCTACTTCATTTTTAAACCATAACTATGCTTCTATATTTACTGCCAGAAAGTGTATTATTTGTTTTACTTGGGTTTTGCCCATCTTGTCCACTAGAACGTAGACCTCTGGAGGGCAGGAACTTTGTCCTGTTCTTGCTGTGCACACGTTTCCTAGAATAGTGCCCAGCACATAGTGTGCAATCAGCAAATTTTTTTTTCCCCTTCTTTTTCTTTTTTTAAAAGAGATAGCTCCACTTAACGCTACAATATAGCAAAAGTACATTGAGCTAATTCAACCAGAGGCATTATGAACGCCTTTGCCTGGGATTTGATAATTACAAAGTATTCTTCAGCTTTTTAAAAGCTAAATTTATGCCAAATTTAGAAAAAAAAAAAGATTTAATTAGTAAACAGTCTAGTCTAGGATTCCTATTTCTATTGTCAGTCATTAAATTTCAAAATAAAAAGTCTGGAAAATTAGTCACATGACATGAGTACCTAGCAGCCTATACCAAAGGATTCCAGAATTTTCTTGTTCTCCTAACGGCCCCAATCCCACTGCCTCGTGTAACATGGGTACACTATGACCCTCAGCTCAGTGATGCTGCATGTTAATGTGACCTGTTACCATGGAGCCTGAAAGCCTGTGTGAAATAACGAGTTTAATTTGAAATAACTGAGCAACTACCCATGGAGTAGGAGTCAAGAGTTCACAAACAGCACAAACAGCAGGAAACCTTTTCAATTAAAGAAGAAAATACTTATACAAACAATGTCATGACCTGCTGGGTTTGAATTACGCTGGACTCACTCACATGTGGGGAGCAGTAACTGGCAACAATACCTCGAACTATTGTAAGTGAGTTTGCCATCGCACAACAGTGCCCAGTCTCGACAGTCAGGTCAGCAGATACCCAAAGTACGGACCACAGCTCATGTTAGCCTTTCTAAGCCTAACACTGTAACTAAGGAACAAAAATTACACGAGAATGTGTCCCACCCCATCTGGAGCTAGGGAGAATGAAGAAAACCAAAGACACAAGAGAAAGATTAGTCCAAAGGACTAATGGACCACAACTACCACAGCTTCTACCAGACTTGAGTCCAGCACAACTAGATGGTGCCCGGCTACCACCACCAACTGCTCTGACGGGGATCACAATAGAGGATCCTAGACAGAGCTGGAGAAAAATGTAGAACAAAATTCTAACTCACAAGAACACACCAGACTTACAGGTCTGACAGATACTGGAGAAACCCCAAGAGTATGGGCCCCAGACACGCTTTAAGTCAGTACTGAGGTCACTCTTGAGGTTCACCTTTCAGCCAAAGATTAGATAGGCCCATAAAACAATAATATACATAGCTCAACCATGTATACAAGACTAAATGGGCACACCAACCCAGGGGCAAGGATGAGAAGGCAGGAGGCGACAGGAAAGCTGGACAAATGGAAATGGCGAACCCAAGGTTGAGAAGGGGAGAGTGTTGACACATCGCCAGGTAGGCAACCAATGTCACAAAACAATATGTATATTAACTGCTTAACAAGAAACTAATTTGCTATGTAAACCTTCATCTAAAGCACCAAAAATTACTACACGATGAAGCAAAGTCTTTTCCAATCTGTAATTCTGATGAAATTCAGAACAGACTCTAATGAGAATAACAGAATTTCTTCAAGTGGTAATTTTTAAAGAACTGGATTTTTGATCAGAAAACCAAATCCCCACCCATTGTGCCATACTACAGCATGTATGTGTGCCTTACGTGTTCTGAGCTGTAAGATCACCTCTTGGCAGAATAAACCATAAAACTCAAACAAATGTCCATAACACGGCTATTAGCTAGCAAGCAGTGCACTTCAGATTCCAGGTGTGAGTGGAAGCCTTCCCCAGCTAAGTCCTCCCGGGTGGCGGCCCACCCCTGCCATCTCCCCGTTGGCATGTGTGAGGGTGCAGAGTAAAGATCCCCTGAAGGGCACAGGAAGGCCAGAGCAAGGCCGAGGCCGGAATCTGGGTAACAGGTGTGCATGGCACAGGTGGAGGGCTGGGGACCAGCAACGCGGTGGACTCAAGTCTGACTTTCCTTCATCTGGGGAAGCCTTGAGGACAGCTCTTGAAGGTGAGATCTGGCCCTTGGGGCTTGCAGTTTGCATTGTCCATGGTGCAGAAGGGGCCCCAGGGAGAGGCTGCTGGGGCCCCACACCAGGTACGCATCTGCAGGCGGGCTGGTGCTCCCGTGAACTGGAACCTTTCACAAGCCCGGGTGCATCATGCCAGAAATGCACTATTTTGGGACAAGTTTCTCATTTTGCAAAGGGCAGTGACTCAGCACTGCCCTTTTCCTCATAAGGAATGAAGGCCATTAAAAAACTAGCCTCCAGAGTCAGCCAGCTTTCACGGGGCCCTGGTCTCCACCTGACCTCTCACGGTGTGACCACTTGCACGATGGTGCCAAGGAACCTTTATCTCCAATGGGAGCTGCTGGCAGTTCTTTTCCCCACACAGAGGGGTCACTCTGAGCATTACCGACTCTGTCACACTGACCGAGAAATCTGAGTGTCAAACCCTGAAAACTCACAGGAGCCCCTGCTTAGAGTCCATAGGAACTTACAGGTGCCTTCTTGTCAATGGGCTTGATGACAAACTTCTTGTCATTGAAAGAGATGTTTCTGATTTCACTCCAAGGGAAGCCAATCTTTGGGGTCAACCTGAGGTTAAAAACAAAAAACGGGATGGTTAGATGTATGTAGTGACACCTACATGTGTGCTTGGATTGGCTAAGAGAGATTTGCATATCTAGTCTTAATTTTAGTCCAATTAAAAACAGTATGAAGCTAACCCAGGAGGCATACTATATAATGTGCATTGTTAGTAAGTACTTCCCACCTGTCCTGGGTTCGGCCAGGGGGCTATTTGTAAGGTTAAAGCACTAAACTCTGAGAGACCTGGATCCATCCCTATTCACATCGGTCCTTCTCTGGTCCTGCCC